ATGCTATTGTCAGTCAGAGGGTAAAAGTGACTGGTGAGGGAGTGTGAGGCAAAGAACTTCCTTTTAAAGCAGAATAACCAATATTTGCTGGATTCATTTCAAAGAATATTTAGATGAGCTGGCTCAAATAAGAGGATTAGCAGCACAGGACTGTTTGAGAGTTAAAAGAGTTTAAGACAGTACTGAGCCTATAGTAAGTTTTAATAAATGGTAGCCATTTTTAGTTGCATGACATATAGAATTTCCCAATAAATTTCATTAATATACAGCTAGTAAGAAGAAGAAAAATAAAAAGTCAGCCTGGGTGGTCCAGTGGTTAAGATTCGGCGCTCTTACTACCACTAATGGGGTTCATTTCCCAGTCAGGGAACCACACCACCCATCTGTCTGTTATTAGACTGTGGTCGCTGCGTATTGTTGTAATGCTGAAAGCTATGCCACCAGTGTTTCAAATACCAGCAGGGTCACCTGTGGTAGACAGATTTCAGCAGAGCTTCCAACTAAGATAGCGTAGGAAGAAGGACCTGGCCACGCACTGCCGAAAAAATTGGCCATGAAAACCCTGTGAATAGCAATGGAGCACTCTGTCTCATAGAGCACTGGAAGATGAGAGGATGGTGCAAAAAGACCATGCAGGGTTCAGCTCTGCTGTACACAGGGTCACTAGGAGCCAGAATCAACTCAACGGCACTAGCAACAAAAACAAAGAGGAAAAAAAGCCAGAGGATGAGAAGGTAAGTGGGAAGAAAGCAATAAGGAAAGGAGCGTCACAAATAGCACTACAGTTAAGAAAAGACATTACCAAAAGGATATTTCTCCCATTGTAAAATCATAGCAAGTTCTAAGATTACAAACGGGTTTTTCATCTGCTGAGCATATTTTATTTATGTGCAAGGGCCTTGAAACTGTTAGGATTTTGGGTTTACAAATTACTTAAAGTTTCACACCAAGAGAATTTCCCACTATAAACTGACATTCCCAGCTGTTAGAAGACAGTTGATGGGCTCAAGCAAACTAAAGAAAGAAATGAAGCCAAATAAAAATGAGACCAGGCTCTTGTTATGGCAAAGGGAAGGGCCTATCTATAGGAATCTGTGATAACTGTCCCACTCACAGAAAAACACGCCAAGTGCACTGACACTTACAAGGAACCAATGTGGAGCAGTGACACAGACTAGCATCCAATACGGAGCACCCTTTCAAACTTGCTCTTCCCTTCACAAAAAACACAGTCCCACAATAAGTCCTTTTCTAACAAGTTGAGCTCACATTTCCTGAAGTATCTTCCCTGCCTAGAATAATACATAATATGTGAAGAAACTTTCTGCTAAAATTCCCCTAAACTTGAGAGTGGAATGAAAAAATAACAGGAGAGGAAACCTTAAGCTGGAAGAGACTTAAGCAGTATACTTCCTTTTCCTACTTCCAAAGAGGGAGACTAGCAAAAGATAATTCATTCATAATTCAAAAAAATGTCATGAGGCATTATATATATGTAAAGCTCTATAATGGGTGTTAGGAAGTACATATGAATAAATCAAACACAGTCTCTGCCTGGAGAAGAAAACGCTAGACAGAGTCAAAATATGTTGTTGGACAAAAATACTCAACACAGAAGACATCAACTCACTCTAGGATAATCTATACATTTAATGAAATGTATGGTATACATTTTTGTATATGATTTCTTGTATACATGTATTTCTTGACATACATGATTTCAAGAAAAAGACTGACTGGATTTTTCCCCCCAAAACTATACAAGCCAATTCTCAAGTTTATATGTAATAATGAACAAGCAAGAATAGTCAGGAAACTTTGAAAAAATGTAACAGGGTGAGAGGTGGGGCTAGACCTATTAGATACTAAAGTATATAATTAAGCCACATTGTGTTACTGAAGCCTGAATGGAAAGACCAATGGATCAGAAAAGAAAGTCCAGAAATAGATTGAATACATACAGGAATTCAGAACATGACAAAGGTGGTGATTCAGTGGGAGGTAGATTATCTAAATAACAGAGGGAAGACTAAGTAATCTTACCTCACACACACACAGAGAAACAAATAAGCAAATTCTAGATTGACTGAAGATTCAAAATGTGAAAAATTAAAAATAGAAGAAAAAATATACTTTTTTTGCTGAGGAAGATTTGCTCTGAGCAAACATCTGTTGCCAATCTTCCTCTATATAGTATGTGGGTCACTGCCACAGCATGGCCACCGACAAGTGGTGTAGGTCTGCACCCAGGAACCAAACCTGGGCTGCTGGAGTGGAGCATGCTGAACTTAACCCCTAGGCCATGGGGTCAGCCCCGAAAAAATATTTTTATGAACTCAGAGTAGGGATGGCTTTTATAAACTTGATAATATACAAGGAAGTCATTAAATAAGTAAAACACAAAATAAATCTATGCCAAGAAATAATTTTTCACCTATTATATTAGCACACCTAACAAAAAACAAATATCACACCTGTGGAGAAAGTTCAGGGGAACAGGTATGGTCTATGCTGAGGGTGAGAGTATAGCTCTGGTACATCTCTGTGGCCCTATGGGGAACAATCTGGCAACACCTATCAAAATTACAAATACATGTTCTTCAAACCAGAGATTCTACCCTAGAGCCCCTTTTTATTATACAGATGTACTTGTTCAAGTATGACATTCTATATATCTTATGCACCTTGTTTCTAATAGAGAAAAACTGGAAAACACCTAAATGTCCATTAATAAAGAAGTGGTAAACTACATTAGGGTATATCCTTACAATGAAATACCATATAACCATTAAAAAGACTGAAGCCGCTTTCTTTGTACTGATTTGTAAAGATCTCTAAAATAATTAAGTTTACAAAGCAAGACACACATCAGTATGCATGATATGTCTCATTTATATAAAATCAGGAAATATATATGTTGTTACTTCCTTTTTGGGGGGAGGGGGGGTGAGAGAGCTTGGCCCTGAGCTAACATCTATTGCCAATCTTCTTTTTTCTTGAGGAAGATTGTTGCTGAGCTAACATCTGTGCCAATCTTCCTCTATTTTGTATGTGGGATGCTACCACAGCATGGCTTGATGAGCAGTATGTAGGTCTGCACCCAGGGTCTGAACTGGTAAACCCCAAGCCACCAAAGCAGAGCATGCGAACTTAACCACTATGCCACCGAGCCAGGCCCCACGTCATTACTCCTTTATACATAAATTGTCTGCAAGGATGCATAAGACACTGTTAACACTGGTTGCCTCTCGAGAGGGAAACTTCGATGGGGGTTAAGGGAGGGAGGCAGACTTACATTTTACTATGTACTCCTTTGTACCATGTGAATGTACTGACCGATTAAAAAATTAGTTAAAAAAAAAAAGTTTAAAAAAAACTATTAAAGTATAGATTGTCCTTGGGGGGAAAGATGCGACGGAATTTAGAGAAGAAACAATAAATTTTGCCCAAAACCTATCATCCTCCCCTTAGCCACTCTGCCAAGACCACTCCTAATACACAGTCTGAGTGTGGCCTGGCCAAGGCAGGGGCCCGAAAGTTCTGTAGCATCTGCCTTGTTTCCTCAAGAATCAGAATAAACTCTCTTTTTACATTTCTTCAGAAATACTGAGCAAAAAGAGATGGCTAGATTTCAGAAAATTTACATGTTACCCTTTGTACCACTGCTGAAACTGAAGAACCGGTCTAGAAACTAAAACTAAAGAACTGCATAGAATGCTGGAAGTCTTAACGAAAGCTGGAAAGCCCTCTCCATATGACTCCATTTCTGCCTTGGCAATATGGTAGCTAATAGAAGGATGATAAAAACAGAAAAGATGACAATATCTTATGCAAATAACAACCTTTAGCATTCTCTACTCACATAGCACATATTCCTTACTGGGTACAAATTCATGCACAGCACAAGCTTTACCCAAAACAACAAGTCCACATCATGCAGAACAGCATCCCATGATGAAGCCTCTCCAAAAGCCTAACTGGCCACTAAGGCCAACTGGTGTTTTTTTATTTCTGGAGTTAGTAGCTGCATCATGCAAGCCGGGAAATAGTGATTAAGGAATAGCATCATTTGTAGGCTGTGAAAAGGCTCAAAGGCCAGAAAACATTTTCTGAAGGTTAGGCTCAGGGAAGCCATAATTAGATGTATACTTTTCAGGGGAAAAAAAAAAGCTAACATCTCTAAATCTTAAAGGAATCATCTTGTCAATCTCATTCTAATTACTTGACTGATTAGAGCCAAACAGGGTAAAATTATGAGGAATCCTACATAGGCAAGTTTTATAGACTTGCCCATGGATATAGACTATGTTTCATGGATACAGACTATGCCTAAAACTCTAACACACGTAAGTAACACCAGTCTGTAAGCAGCAGACTGGTCAAAGATGTGGCTGCATCACTGAGAGATCATTTCCCACTACTAGAAACACAAATAAGGTCTGTGCCTACCAATACTGGTCAGAGGCTACCGTTTCCTCATAAAGGGTAGACCATTTCTATTTGTAATCCAAAAGCAATTTGGGTATTTAGGCCCACCAGCACAAGCTATTCATATGTACTGAGCAAAAAAATCCCCCATGCACACAGCTAGACACGATATGTTTCCTTCCTTCTGTGAATCTTTATACAAAATAATGATTCAAATTTGGCTATAAACTTTACAAATAAGAGGTACACTTCTTAAAAAAAATTAAGAATAGTGGATGGTGACAGGCCTTCTGCTAAAGGATTGTTGTTTGAAATTCAATTTCCCCTGAAACTCAAGGTTCAGTGCTAGGTAAAAAGGCATGCAACCAAGTCACCAGCCTCCTCAAGCTGGACACAAGGCATGCCTTGGCTGCAGAAAACACATAATTAGCAGTTATAAGTTTTCATGCCAACAAACCAACTGATTAACAAGGATGATTAGAGTCTGGATGGAACCAAAGCACAAGCTCTTTGCCTTTTTGATGCTGACTCAAAAGCCACAAGCACACACTTTCCCCATGGCAGGTTCCTACCGCGGGACTTCAGTGGCTTGGCTCTCTCTCGTTCCTGGATTACAGACTTTGGCAGCAGTGGACTAAGTCCTCGGGACTTGGTAGGTCTCATGTAGCCTTTCATTGGTTCTGCCATTCTGCTCTTATCTTCCTTCTTCCCTTCTCCTTTCATTGGTTCAGATTTTTCTGTCATTTTCTCAGGTGCCTCCAAGATCTTATCTTTGGGTTCTGGGAGTCGAAGACCCTTAGAAGCAGTCACAACTAAGTTATCTGCCACACTTGCAGGAGTGGCTTCAGCTGTGCCATCTATGAAATCTGACTGGAGTTCTGGTGTTGCCAAGGAAGCATAATCCAATTCTGCAATTTCAGAAGCCAGACTAATTCCTTCTGATTTATCCTTTTTACTTTTTGGAGGCAAAAGAGTCATATCTCCCTCCTTCTTTAAACTATCTGGGCCCTTGGAATCTCTGTCTTCAACATTTTGGTCCTCACAGAAACTGGGCTTTTGTGCTTTGTCTCCCAGTAAGTCAGGCATTTGAACCGGAGCAGAACCTGCCTCAGACTCTTTCTTTTCATTTACCGAATATGTGGGAAAATTACTCCTATCTGCACACGCTTCTAGGACTCTGACCACACCTGGTAGGCTTTGGTCATCTATAGGCACTCCAGAACGAAGGTGCCCCTCTGCTAGCTCTGTGATTTTCTCTATTGAATGCTCAGATGCACCACCAAGCACTGACTCAGATTCTCCTATCACATGCCCTCCATCTAACCCCGCTTCATTTTTCATGGGATCAGGAAGCTCACCTTTATTCTTAAGACGGTTATCACCATGACTGTTAACTGTTTCTATGGCTGCTGTAAAAGTTGGGGTAATTCCTCCTGTGCTTGTAGAGGGCATAATAGCAGAAGGAGCCTTGGGTCCTTCTTGATCTGGGACTCCATCTTTGCTGCAATTATCTACCACTAATAATTTGGAAATCTGGGCTGGAATTGTCTCCTGCCCACTTTTGGCCAAAGCGTCTGGAAAGGAATCACTCTCCTTCACTACTTGAGGAGTAGGAATGGACAGTTTTTCACAGGCTGCTGATTCCTGAGTCTCTAGAGGAGGTGACTTATTCATCAATCCTGATGGTGTTCTGGGGCAGGTAAATGTAATATTTCTATTTTCGTCCACATAGCCCATTCCTTCAATTCTGTGGTCCCCTGTGGTTTCCATGGGAACATGTATTTTTGTTGCATCTATCTTATTCTCCAGAATGTGCTTCTCGGGAAAACTATTTTTAACTTTTTTACTTTTTTCATCATTATTCAGTTTATTTGGTTTGTCAGCCACTGCAGTATGTCCCTTGGCTGGATCTGTCTTATTCTCCTCAGACAGTACTGAAGGAACAAATCCTGCCCCCTGGATTTGGTCTTGGCAGCTCATCTCTGTCACTTTGGCAGCTGGTTCAATAACAGCAGAATCCTTGACTGTGTTTATTTTGTCCCCACCAACAGCCTCAAGCTCAAAAGAATTAACCCCAACATTTTCACCTTTTCGGTTAACTACTTCCACTGTGGGTGTATCTGATGTATGTGAGAACAAAGGGTCATGATTTACAGGGAAAGTGAGTCCCAATTCTTTGTTTTGATGGGAAGTACTACCAGCAACTCTATCCTTCCCTTCAAAAGGTGGGTTGAGGATTTCTTCCTTACTCTCAATGCTAGCAGGCTGTGTGGAATAATTATTTTTAACCTTTTTGTTTTTGCCTTCACTGCTTTTTTTTTCAGGCTTTTCAGAAATCCAGGGAGCTGCCTCATGATCCATCCAAGGACACTTTCCTTCCTTGCTCTGGTTACTAACACCTGTATCTATGGCTATGTCTCCTCTTTCTGTTCTAGCACTAGAAGTCTGAGTCATGCCTGACCCACTTCCCAAAGGAATCAGTGTCTGCAAGGTGCCTGCCACCTTAGAGTCAGTTGTTTCCCTAGGCTCCTCCATCACCACTGCCTCAGTGACATCAGCCATGGCTCCTGGTTGCTTTGAAGCTTCTAGTCCCAACTCCTCACTCTTATCCCCAGTAGTCATTCTTTCAGTTTTAGGGGCTGGCTCACTTGGCACAAGAACAGCTCTGCTGTCCTTCTGGCTGTCTAGAGGAAACGGCAATTCAGATCTCGCTCTTACCTTCCCAGAACTCATTCTCACTTTTCCAGAACTTCCCCTTCCCTTCCTGCTTTTGCTGTCACCTGCTGTTCTCTTAAAGGGTTCATTCCCTAGCCCAGGAACCTGAGCTAACACCTTGTCCTGCAGCTGCTCGGAAGCAAAGATGCCGATCTCTTGTCTTTGCTTGGGAAAAGCTTCTTTTTTCAGTTCTTTCACCTCTTCAGCTCCTTCAGAAAACTCTTTCTGTTTGTCATTATGTAGTTTAGTCATTTTACTTTCATCATTCCCTTCTTTTAGATTATTTTCTAATGGATTACTAGCTGTTAAAGTGGGTATCAAATTAAGCAGTTCTTTTGCTGCTGTGGGTTTTGAAACTCTACCTGTAGCCTCTTGGTTCAAGATAGGAAAGCAACACTCTTTGGATCTGATCTCCAAAGGAATTTCTACTCTGTGTGCAGAAATTTCTGTCAGGGGTCCTTGCAGATTGAGAGAGCTTATTGTCTGGCTTTTATCTACAGAAGTCTTCAGGTTGGGTGCAGGCTGTGGTCTGCATTCATCTTGCTGCATCGGTTGCTGGTTTTGGCTCTGTGGTACTGACTTGTTACCTTTGACCTCTCCCTCTCCTTTCAGCTTCGGCTGAGAATTTACTGCATTTTTGGGGGGTTCTTCCAAAGGACACAAAGGAACACTGAGACTCTCTGAGACAAAGTGTTCAGCTACCAGTTTGGATGCTCTGAAGTCAATTTCTGATTCCTTTTTCAAGTTTGCTCTGGATAGCAGTCCATACTCCATGCCCACAGTGGTAGACTGGTTAGGGAGAACACCTGATTTTTGTGGGTCAGCTGCAAAGAGATGACCTTTAGGCTTGTCTGCATTGTCATCATCCCAAGGTCCCCCAGCCCGAGGTTGAGAGTATCTCTTTTGCTTTGGTTTCTTCTTTTTTTTCTTCGTCATCATGGGTGCGCTTTCTATATCCCAGGCCTCCCTGCCAAGATCCCTCTGGGGTTCAAGGAAGTCAACAGGAATAGTTTTCCTTTGGTTCCCAGGCTCACCACAGGAAGAAGAACCAGAGACCCAAGTGGACTGAGACAAAGGGCAGGGGCCCAGCCTGGGATCAAGAGTCTTCCGTGGAGAAGAGACTCCTAGCAGCTCAGGAGGGACCCTGGCAGGCCTGGGCCGGGTGGGCCTGTGGTCACTGGGTCTGCACACTTGTTTGGCTTGTGTGGGAGGGGTACCTGCAATACATGAAGTTGGCTAAAATTCCAAACAAAAAACTCCTTATTATTGTTTCTTTTTAAAAAGTCCATTCAGTGACTTATTTAACTAGTCTATTTTCACCAACCACATACTCATTCCTTCAGAATGTTTTCTGAAACATTTCTTACCTTTAACTGGGATTAACAAATATTTAACAAAGATCATCATCTCAGGTAAAGTTTTTTTCAAACATACTTACAAAATATTTGAAACGAGAACAGAAATTCAAATAGGGATCTTCTAACCTCTATAATAAGCACTTACTGTCCATAAATCTCATCTGGTATTTATATTTGTCAGTATTTTTAATAGGTACATAATTCCCAAGTATGCAACAAGATGGTAAGCTCTTGGCTCTTTTTGGTGACATTTATTAATTAACTGAATGAAATATACATGATTTTGGATAGAATTTACAATTCTAAGAGTCTGTCACCAATATTATTCTCATTACTTGTCAAACTAACCAGATCGATTTTCAGAAACAGACCAGAAGGCCAGACTTACGCTACTTTAAAAAAAAAAAAAGAGAGAGAAAAGAAAAGAAAAGGAAAAAAGATACTGAATTAGTATCTTGGCCAGGGAAAAATTCTCATCATTGCAGAACAAGAACCTCCTACTTGAAAGACAAATGTCTTAGATTTCAATGTTCTGTTCCTAAATGTACTTCCTAAAAGACAAAGAAATAGACATTATGCCAAGTGGTGTAATGAATTAAAACAATTAGGATGAGCACCCTTGGAAAGATTTCAGGAAGTCAACCGGTCCGACCTTTGCCTCCAAGTCAGTGCAGTGTGGATCCAGGATTCTGGAAAGAGTCCTATTAAGAGCAGGTCTAGAACAGCTCTTGTCAAGCCTGACTTAATGAAATGACTTCAAAGAATATTCAAATACTTACATAGTACTTTTTTGTTCTCATCTTTACCCCTCCCATGGCCACCAAATCCTACCCTTCATTAAACACCTCAGGTCACTTATTGCTTCTCTCCAAAACTTGCTAGGCTTTAGCACTCCACAACACTTGTAACATTTAATCTGGCAACTAATCAGCAGCTATTTGGTGCCATCTCATACTATTTTATTCAACTATTATATAAATCTTTGGTTTCAGAGTTCTTGCCTGGGAAATTCTCTCACCACCCAGGCTATAACATAATAACACAAGGGCAAGACCTGGACTTAAATATCTATGTGCCTTAGGATGGTGTATTTCATACACAATAAGGATTTAATAAATGTTTACTGTATTTGATTATGTTATATCAACATAATTGATATAAATTGAGTCACTAAAACAAGATTTAAACAAAATCAAATGTTTATTTAGCTCCTTCTTGGTGTTAAACAGTGTGCAAAGCACTAGAGATTCAAAGCGAAATAAGTCATGGTCCCTGCCCTCAAGTTCACATTCTAATCAGTCACAGAAAAGTAAGCAGAGAATCATTAAATTGATAATCACATACACACAGTTCTGGCTTACTGTCAAAAACCTGTGATCTTAAAGTTCATTGAATAAGTGAACTGTAAGTTAGAAAGTATCTTAGAGCAGTGCCTCTCAAAGTCTAACGTATGTAAAAATTATCTGGGGAACTTGTTAAAACGCGCATTATGATTCTGAAGGTCTGAGGGGGAACCCAAGACACTGCATTTCTAACAAGCTCCCAGGCAATGCAGATGCTGTTGGGCCATAGAATGCACTGTAAGCAACAAGGGTTTACAGAACATTTGACCAGTTTATTCCTCTTACAACTGAGTAAGTGAGATATATGAAAGTTAAACAACCTGCCTAAGATCACACAGGATAGAATAGTGAACAGATGAACTGGATTAAAATTCAGGTGTCCTACGTTGATGTAATGATAATTTTTAAATATGTAACAAGCTGACTTTCTAAACAAGACAAAATCTGTCTAAGAAAGAAAACGGACTTCATAAACAATACTGCTAATTAACACCATATAACCAGGGACAATGTCTATCACCACCACCCCAGCACTCCCAGTTTCAGTGGTTTCAGAGCCCACTTTGTTTTCCTAATTTACCTGAGGTCTCTGAAGACAGTTCAGAAGGCTGACTACTGACTGGTTTCTTTTGGTCTAGTTTCTCTGACAGTGAATCCTCATCTGCTGGCAAGCTGTACTTTTGGCCCGTGGCTGTGACTGGTTCTAAAGGTAACAGTGAAAAATACACACGTTTCAGAGAAGCACTATTTCAGCTATTTCTCCACCTTTCAGAAATTGGAAACAGAAACAGTTTTTGAGGAAGGAGAGATGCTCCTATGAGGGAAAAATAGAACTGGAGTAGTAGTTGGAAGGTGGAGGAAAGGCTGAGTTTGGAGGTTTTTGTTTTGTTTTTTTAAGATGGGAAAAATAACTGTTCATACGTTGGTGGGAATGATCCAATGGAAAGGGGAAAAACAGTGAGAGACAAGAAAGAGGAGAATGGCTAGGGCAATGCACTTCAGTAGGCAGGAGGAGAGAGGAGCTAGTATAAAACGGAGAGGCTGGACTTAATTAGGAGCAGGGACAATTTCCTGATAGTTACAGGAGGGAAAGCAGAGTTTATGGATACAGATACAAGTAGTTAATTAGATGAGGTAATGGAAGTTTGTGAATGTTCTCTTTTATTGCTTCAATTATATGAAAAACAGGAAGATCAGGAGAGAACAAGGATAGAGAACGTGTTGCAGGAGAGTGAAGGTAAGAAAGAGTTGTCTAAGAGAGTAGGAGTGTGTATAAACTTGCAAAGTATAGTTGACTGTCTTTTATTTGGTATGACTTTGTCCCTTACCCTTCTGGAGACTACACTCTGGTAGAGAGAAATACCAAGAGTAAGTGTAAGTCCATACCTGGTGAAATCATGGAAGCAGGAGCAGCTGACTGCCCCTCATCCTGGAGAGATTCTAACTGGGAATCCTCACTTATTTCTTCCTGTGTCCGTGCAATTTCCATGTCCTTGACTGGAACTGGTGCCACCTCTGAGGGTGGTGCAACATCCTTGGCTGGAGTCACATTGTTGGTCAGGGTCACCTCTGGACCAGGGGGCACAGCCACATCCTTAGCCAGGGCTACCTCTGTTTCTGGAGGCAGAAGCACATCCTTGACCCGGGCTACTTCTGTTTCTGGGGACAGAGCCACATCCTTGCCCAGGGCCATCTCTGTTTCTGCGGGTGGAGCCACGTCCTTGACCAGGGCCACTTCTGTTTCTGGAGGTTGGGCCATGTCCTTGACTGGGGCCACCTCTGTTTCTGGGGGCAGTGCCACATCCTTGCTTAAGACCACCTTAGTTTCTAGAGGCAGTGTTATGTCCCTGGTCAGAGCCACCTCTGTTTCTGAGGACAAGCCCACCTCCTCAGCTGAGGATTTTTCTGTGGATGATGCAATGTCCTTAGCCAGTGCCATTTGTATTTCTGAGAGTGATTCTACAACATTGGCTTGGGCCATCTCTCTGTCTGTGGGTGGTACTATGCCCTCAGCTGGGGCCAAATCCATTTTAATAGGTGATGCTCTCTCTGTTTCTTTGAATACTACTACATCCTTGGCTAGGGCTACCTCTGTTTCTGTAGGCAGTACCATGTCCTTGGTAAAAGACACACCTGTTTCTGTGGGCGACAGGACATTCTTAACAGGGGCTTCTTCTGTCTCTTTAGGTGGTACCATGTCCTTGACCAGGGCCATATCTGATTCAGTGGATGATTCCATGTCCTTGGCTAGTGACGCATGTGATTTGGTAGGTGATTCCATGTTTTTAGCCAATGCCACCTCTGTTTCTGCAGCTGGTGCCTCGTCCTTAGCTGAGGTCATCTCTTTTTCTCTAGATGATGCCATGTCAGCAGTCTTCAGTCCCATCATTTCCAATGCTTTCATTGGTGCCCTCTCTTCTGCTGATGCCATTTCTACGTCCTTGGCCGGCTCTAAGGAAAATAAGTTGGAAATTTAGGACCCATCATGGTCTGCCTGTAGCTCTGCATTCAAAACTTACTTTCTTAGAGCATAGGAGTAGCTGGTTTCTGCGACCATAACACTCTAAACATAACTAAAAACTGTCCAGTTAATGCATTTGTGCCTAGTCTTTGACACTCTCAATACTTAGAAGACTAGCATATCAGGAGAATATACAGTGGAGGAGGAAAGGCAAAGGAGAGAAAAAAAAAATCAGGTTTAAAAAAAACAACACAGGTACACAATGTCAGAAAGGGAACCTGAGGGACGTCAAGAGAAAAACTCAGAGTTCTAAAACTAACTGAATTAAAAAAAGGGATTTTCTTTGCCCATTAACTCCAAGTGTTGTATTTCAATTATAACTTGAATCCTCTAGCTGTGAAATCAGTAATTTAACTTTAAAAACACTTGAGATGGTTCTGAATCTTTATCTATACTGCTGCACGCTGCTAAAAAAGAAATCTGATGATTGATATTGACTATTGGTACTGCAACCCTTAACTGATACAGAGGGGTTCTAACAACTTACCTGCTGTGGGCTGCGTAGGTTGTGTAATGGCCTCTGCGGAAATGAAAGATTCCAACTGTGGAGAGTTTGGGGCTTCCACAGACCACCCCTGAGGCACAACAGCTGTAGGAGCAAATGTGTCACAGGGAAACAGACCTAATATTGAAACACAAACACATCAAACAAACACATTTTTGAAACTTAGTCAACACTAGGAAAAAAAAGGCATTTGATATTTAAAACCAGTTTTACATAGACCCAATGACCAATGAAGAACAAAGCAAGAAAGTTTTAAAGTAAAAACTGCTGACATTCTTCAGGTTTTAGCTAATTGTTAATAGGTGTATAGTATCACTTTATCCCTGTAGTGACATTAATCAACACTGATTGGCTACCTTCTACAGTGTATTACAAAGATTCAAAATACCAAAGACTGAGCTCTAGCTCCAACATCACAACCAGTATAATATAATGTATAGTAAGGAATTGTGAGTCTTAATTTCCCCATCTGTAAAATGAGATTAACACCTCCCTTTCCAATACCAGAAATTTATTTTATGAAAACAGTCTGTAAATTATTAAGAACTAGACAAAGATAAAAGGATCATTATTTTGCTGTCCTCTGATAGATACAACAGGGGATTTAATATCACATGGTCCTTGCCATCAAGATTATTACAATTTAGCTAGATAGGCAAGATAGACATACATCAGATAATGCAAGTTGTACAATAAGGACTAAGTGCTGTAAGAGTTTAAAAACAACGAGGACCAGAATAGTCACAGAAGGATTCTGAGGAGAAGCAAGAGCAGGAAGAGAAGAGAGAGGGGTCAATTTTAAGGATGGAGAACACTGAGAAGAGAAAAGTATAAAGATGCCAACAGGACAAGAATATTTCTGGGACTACAAGATTAGTCTGATTCAAACAGATCTTGCAGACCAGACAGGGAAAATAGGATTAGAACAAACAATGGAAGAAGGATCTGGAAAGCAGAGAAATTTAGTCTTGACAGAAAAAAATAGGGTATCTTAAGGTCTTAATCATGAAAATGAGATGAATACAGAACAGGACTCAGGGCGATCCACACAGTAGGTATATCCAGAATAAATTTAAAAGGGAGCAGGAAGTCTGCTAGGAGACAACTGAGGTAGCCTAGGTATGACATGATAGAGGTGTACACTGGGGAAAAGCAGAGGGAGTATAAAGGAACATAAGAAAGATGCTGTAAAGAAAGAAGTCAATGCAACCAAATAACTCACTAGCTAGTGAGCGGAAAAGACAGAAGTCAAAGCCAAAATAAAAATATCAGGAGACTAGACACACAACTCAAAGTCAATTCACCTAACATTCTTCTCCCAAGAGATCTTCGGTCCAAAGAAAAGCATAAATGAAAAGCATTATTAGCTAGGATCTTTACAAATACAAAATTATAAGCATTGTTTGAAGTGAGATTTACTGATGATAGGTACTAAAGGAAACCAGAATATGTCACCCCAAAATATGCCTCTTTGACACAAAAATTATTTTGAGGGGCCAGCCCTGTGGCCCAGTGGCTAAGTTTGCGCACTCCGCTTCAGCCGTCCAGGGTTTCGCCGGTTCAGATCCTGAGTGTGGACATGGCACTGCTCATCAGGCCAAGATGAGGCGGCATCCCACATGCCACAGCTAGAATGACCCACAACTAAAAATATACAACTACATACCAGGGGGCTTTGGGGAGAAAAAGGAAAAATAAAATCTAAAAAATAAAAATAAAAAAAATAAAAATTATTTTGAGCTGCAGGCCATGAAGAAGCAGGAAATCCAGAGAAAGCACCTCACTTTCTGCCAAAAGGCAGAATATAAATTCTCCTTTTACTAGAGACAGACTCTCATCAGCCCAGAAAAAGGGCACCAGAGGAACCTACAAGCAAATCTTACTCCATTAGTTCCCCCCCCATATAATTACCTTCCCACAGTACGTTACTCTTGGAAGCCTAAAATTGCTTTCCTTGGTCCTGTCATTTCTCTACAAATGTATTGTTCTTTATTGAAGATGCTATATAAACTGAAATTCTGAGCTACCAGTTTGAGTTACTTTTCTCCTGTGTGATGTACACTGCATGCATTAATAACTGGGGGCAGTTAAAACCCCCAGTTAATAAAAACACTGGGGTTTTTTTCTCTTGTTAATCTGTCTTTTTGTTAAAGAGTACCAACTGAAAACCTAAGATGGACAGAAGTAAAGTGTTGCCTCCCCTATAGTACTCTGGCCACATTCATGTTAAAAGTTATACAAAACCAGGAATGAGAATACTACTAATTGATAACTAAGATCTGTTTAATGTTTACTATGTATTGGACACTATGTGAAGTGCTTTTACATAATTTTATTTAATCATCACCACATCTTTAAGGTAGGGACAAGTGTTGGCCCCATTTTACAGATAAAGAAACCAAAATTTAGGGAGGACGTAACTTGCTCGAGACCATTAGCTAGTAAAATGTGAAGACAGAATCTGGCTCTAGGATATAAGATTCAAAATCCCATGAGAGGAGGTAAGTAGCCCCTGAGTAGCCTAACTGTGAATTCTCTCCTGTGACTCATCTAAAAAGAGCCTTCTCACAGCCAAAGCCCCCAAAGCTGACTTTGCCTAGTGGTTTACTTCAAAGGTGATGAGTGAAAGCTACATTAATTGTCTGGAATTAAGAAATAAATCCAGTAGGAGAAGTCATACCATAACTGTCTTCCAAGGGATTATTTTGTTCTACAAATGCTGAAGCACTGGTTGTTCCACTGGGGAGAAAGAGCAATTCTTCCAGGCCATCATCATGGTGCATCTTAAAGGGATCTGGAATAAAGAAGGAATTTAAAACACATTCCCAGTGAATACAACTAGAAAGATTAGCACTCCTTTTATCCTAAGATAAATATTGATTAGTTACCTGTATGTTGTCAATAGTAAGTTAAATAAGTTGAGATAATATGTGACTGAGCATGGCAGGGAATCAATAAATATTCACTAATTCATTTGTTATGAGTTAAAAATATGTAATCTCCTATTCTCTAAGATTTGATTATCTAAATCAGTCAACAAATATATAAAACTAAAAGCACACCTAATGCTTAATTCTGTGATATACTAAGATGTGAAAGTATAGGTATAATTAAACTTTCAATATATATTTACATAGTAGATATTCATTTTAGGTTATTAAAAAAAAATACAGCCAGAACAAGTAAAAAAGACATTTTCACCTCATGTGGACATCATGAAGAAAACGGCATTTCAAAAGCTGTCTGAATGAGACAGGGTGAACAGCTGGCATCTTGAAAGGAGAAATAAGCTCTAGACTCAGGATTGGCATGAGTAAAGCCACTCAAAACATCAAGTAAACTCTGTGCCTTCTTACACAGAAAAAGAGCAAAACTAGTCAGGCCAAGCAAGAAGCTGGCTCTCCAGAAAGGCCTTCTCAAAATCTAGCACACATCTGTATTACCCTGAAGGCTTATAAGAAAACAGATTACTGGGCCCTAAGTATCTGCATTTCTAACTAGTTCCTTGGGAAATGCTAATGACTCATTCCCTTTAGGCACTTCAACTGTCAGAGGCAACTGCATAAAAAGCCCATTCTTGAGGCTCTGAGGCAGCTACACCACCCTCTTCTAGTAAGATTTCAGGATTAGGAGCGACCACGGCATTGGGGAGCATGAACAAGGAGATGGTAAACTGAAAAACTATTGGGGATAGAGGAGGCCCCAGTGCTGCTTCTTCAGAACAGCAGGAGAGCTGGAACATGAGCGAGATTACAAACATTCATTCTCCCTGTTCTTACTTGGTTTGGGGTAGCTGCTGCTTGCTCCACCTCTCACACTTCCACTGAAGGAAAACAGGATGCTTAAACCATCAACGAGAATAACTGCTGAATGGTTTGCATTAGGATGGTAGATTGCTAAATCACATTACTTTTTTACTGGGTGCTTACAACATGGCAGACCCTGTGTGCTCTAAAAACCCAAAGATGTATAAGGTCAGGGTTGAGAATATTTAGCAGAGGGATACATTTTAGTTCAAGTCAAGAAAGATCTTCACTTGATAAATATTTAAGCTGAGAATTAAAGAACTGAGTGGTCAGGGGGAGAGAGGAAGACCTTTTCTGTATCTGCATTCCCTCCCTTAGTGATCTCATCCAATCTCACAGTTTAAAATTCCTTCTATAAGTTAACGACACTTAAATTTGTATCTCCAACCATTTAAACCTCTCCTCTTATTTCTTGACTTTTATATCAAATTGCCAACTCTTAATGTATAAAATAAAGCCAAAATGTAACGTTTCCCAAATGACTCCTCACACAGTCTTCTCATCTCTAATGGCATTCTATTTTTTTGGTCAGAAACCTTGGAGTCACCCTTGACTTCTCTCTTTCATACACCATATCCAATTAATCAGAAAATCCAGCTGACTTCACCTTCAAAATGTCCCCCAGAATCTATTTCTTCTGCATCTCCACTGATTAGAGTGTCTCACAAGGGTGCAATCAAGGCATTGGCTGGGGCTGTGATCATCTGAAGATCTGACTGTGGCTGGAGAACCTGTCTATACAATGGCTTACTCACGTGGCTGCTGACTAGAGACTCTGTTCCTCCCCTAAGTGTGCCTCTCCATAGCAGCTTGCTGTCCCCAGGGTAGGTAAACCCAGAGTAATCAAGATGGAAGCCACAATGTCTTTTGTAACCTAATCTTAGAAATGACATACCATTATTTCTGCCATCTATTCTATTGGTCACATAGACCAAGCCTGGTACAATGTAGGAGGTGACAACACAAGGCTATGAATACCAGGAGGTGGGGATCATTGGAGCCATCTTGGAGGCTGGCTACCACACCTGACTTGCAGAACATTATACTCTTCTGAGTTTTCTCTAACCTCAAAACTGACCATTCCTTTGAAGGTAACTTCCTGACTTGAATTAGTAATTAAAAACTACTCACAAAGAAAAGCCCTGGCCATGATGGCTTCACTTATGAACTCCACCAAACATTTAAAGAAGAATTAAAACCAATTCTTCATAAACACTTCCAAAATAATTGAAAAGGGGAGAACACTTCCCAACTCATTCTTTGAAACCAGTATTACCCTGATACCAAAACTAGACAAAGACATCACAAGAAAACTACAAATCAATATCCCCTCTGAATATAGATGCAAAAATCCTCAACAAATATGTTTATATAAGTACAAGCATATAAAACAAATTATGCACCATGACCAAATGGGAAGCATCCCAAGAATGCAAGGTTGGTTTAATACCCAGAAATCAAGTAACATAATATGTACATATCACTAGAATGAAAAATAAAACCACATGATCATCTCAATAGATGCAGAAAAACCACTTGACAAAATCCAACACCCTTTCATGATAAATCACTCAACAAATTAGGAATAGAAGGCATTTTCCTTAATCTGATAAATGTCATTCACAAAAAACTCACAGCTAACACGATACTTAAAGGTGAAAGACTGGATGCTTTCCTGCTAAGACCAAGGACAAAACAAGGATGTCTGCTCTCACCAATTCTATATAACACTATACTGAAGGTTCTAGCCAGGACAATTAGGCAAGAAAAAGAAACAGTGGTATCCAGATTGGAAAGGAAGAAGTGAATTACATTTGTAGATGAGATAATCTTACAGTTAGAAAATCCTAAGGAATCCATTAAAAAACAACTAGAAGATAAAAGATCAACATACAAAAATCAACTGTATGTCTATACCTTGCAATAAACAACATGAAAATGCAATTAAGAAAACAACTCCACTCACTCATAGCATCAAAAGAATATTAGAAATAAGTTGTACAAAAGGGAGTATAAAATTTATACTCTGGGGGATAGCCTGGTGGTGTAGTGGTTAATTTCGTGTGCTCCACTTCAGTGGCCCAGGGTTTGTGGGTTCAGATCTCAGATGCAGATCTACACACTGCTCATCAAGCCATGCTGTGGTGGCATCCCACATACAAAAAATAGAGGAAGACTGCCACAGACGCTAGCTCAGTGACAATCTTCCTCAAGTGAAAAAAGGGAAGATTGGCAACAGATGTTAATTCAGGGCCAGTCTTTCTCACCAAAAAAAGGCAAAAAAATTATACTCTGAAAACTACAAAAATATAGTAGAAAGACATAAGATATAAACAAATGGAAAAACATTCCATGTTTATAGCTTGGAAGATAACATTGCTAAAATGGCAAAACTCCCCAAATTGATCTACAGATTCAACATAATTCCTATCAGAATCCCAGCTGACTTCTTTATAGATATTGACAAGCTGGTTCTAAAATTCACATGAAATTGCAAAGGACTTGGAATAGCCAAAACAATCATCAAAAGGAACAAAGTAGGAAGACTCATACTTTGCAACTGCAAAACTTACCACAAAGCAACAGTAATCGTGACAGTATAGTAACAGCATAAGGACAGATATATAGATCAATGGAAAGGAACTAAGAGTTGAGAAACAAAACCATGTGTCTATGGTCAATAGATTTTCAACAAGGGAGCCAAGACCATTCAATGGGGAAAAATAGTCTTCAAAACAAGGAGTTGGGACAACTGGATATCTACATGCAAAAGAAGGCATCTGGACCTCTATCTCTCACCATATACAAAAATTAAGTCACAGTGGATCAAAGACCTCAAAACAAGAGCCAAAACTATAAAATTTTTAGAAGAAAACATAACAATACATCTTCATGACCTCTGATTTGGCAATAGATTCTTAGATATGATACCAAAGCATGAGCAACAAAAGAAAAACTAGATAAATCGGATTTCATCAAAATTAAAAACTTTTGTGTACCAAAGGACATCAAGAAAATTAGAAGACAACCTACAAAATGGGAAAAAAATATTTGCAAATCATAAATCTGGTAAGGGTCTAGTATGCAGAATATATAAAGAACTCTTACAGCACAACAGAAAGAAAAACCAATTAAAAAATGGGCAAACGGGTCCGGCCTGGTGGTGTAGTGATTAAGTCTGCATGCTCTACTTTGGTGGCCAGGGGTTCACAGGTTCGGATCCTGGGTGCAGACCTACACACTGCTCATCAAGCCATGCTATGGCAGCGTCCCACATTTGAGATAGAGGAAGATTGGCATAGATGTTAGCTCAGTGACAATCTTCCTCATGCAAAAAGAGAAAGATTGGCAACAGATGTTAGCTCAGGGCCAATCTTCCTCATCAAAAACAAAAGGGGAGGTGGGGGGGAAGGGATCTGAATACACATTTCTCCAAGGAAGATATACAAATGGCCAATAAGCACATAAAAAGATAAAAAGATAACCAACATCACTAGTCACTAGGAAAACGCAAATCAAAATGACAGTAAGATACCATTTCACATCCACTAGGTTAGCTATAATTTTTTTTAAAGGCAAGTGTTTTCAAGGATATGGAAGAATTGCAAACCTCATACATTACTGGTGGGAATATACAATGGTACAGTTGCTTTAGAAAACAGCTTGGCAATTCCTCAAATGATTAAACATATAGTTAGCATCTGATCAGCAATTCCAATCTAGGTATATACCCAGGAGAAATGAAAATAAATGTCTACACAAAAACTTGTATATGAATGTTCAAAACATCCTTATTCACAACAGTAAAAAATGGAAACCAAAATGTCCAGCAACTGATGAACAGATAAACAAAATACAGTATATCCAGAGAATGGAATATTATGCATCCGTATAAAAGAACAAAGTACTGATCCATGCCACAAAATGTATGAACCTTGAAAACACTGTGCTAAATGAAAAAAGCCAGTTGCAAAAGACCACATATTAAATGATTCCATTTATACAAAATGTCCACAATAGGTAAATTTATGGAGACAGAAAGTAGATTAGTGGTTGCTCACGGCTAGAGTGGATAAACAGAAAGGGGGTGATATTTAAAGAGAACAGGGTTTCTTTTTGAGGTGATAAAAATGTTCTAAAATTAACTCTGGTGATGGCTGTACATACGTATGAATATAACAAAATAAACTGAATTGTACACTTTAAATGGACAAATTGTATGGTATGTGAATTATATCTCAATAAAGCTGTTTTTAAAAATTACCATATATGTAGGATAGCAAATAACTGGAGAATGATATAGAAAATCAAGTACTAGATCATTTGGAAGCAGCTGTGAGCACCTTCTAAGTTAGACAGCAAAAAAAGAAGCCACACATAGGTGGAAACAAATAACTCGGACTCTCAATCTAGTTAACTTTGACATGGAGGTATCAATGCTATTGCTTTGAGGCTCTTTTTCACTCCATTCCTCTCACCACTTCTAGCTCGAGTCAACTACAGATAGGCTTTTTGTCTCTATAGATTAGTTTGAATTTTAAGGAAATTGGGTATGACTCTTCATTTTCTCTTCTGTCAAATAAAGATAACACATACTTGGCAGAGTTAGATATGAAAAATAGATAATATGTATATAAAGGCTCTAGCACTATGTCTGGCACAAAACAGGCACTCAACAAATGGTGCTGTTATTACTGTAATAATTCCTTTTGGAAGAATTAGAATTCTAAATTACTGCTGATCATTTAGTCTTCAATGAATATGAATTTCAGTTAATTTACTCAAAACAGTTTTTGAAGGGGAGACAACTAGAGGGACATGTGTCTCAGAACAGATAAACAGAGAGGAGAAAGGGTCAACTAAATGTTCACGGGAACTAATTATACCTTGGTTGTGCTTTATGAGCTTTATTTAGGCTATAACATTTTATCTGAGTGGCATTTGTGGCTTTTTCACGTTTATGTCATAGTTCACATTCAGCAGTCACAGCTAAGCCTGCACTTACCAGTCTGGATAGGATTCACCACTTGCTCGGGTTGGAAGCAAAAGTTTGTATTTTCTGGCCAGTTCTGATATCCCTGGTAGGCCATGTTCTCTTCAAGGAATTCAGTTGGAGATCCTTCAAATAGAAACATGAAACAAAAGTTACACGGTATCACCTTTCTCCTACACTAGAGTTGAGTTTCTACGAGTACTACAGCTAGTACAGTAAACAGTCATACCCAGCTAGTGCCTTTGAAGAAAAATTTTTTAAATTTTAAGATAGAAGGAAATAAAGAACTGGAAAACATAAGTTATTATACGGTTAAAAATACTGTAGGAGGACTTCTCATTATGGACATGTAAGAAGGTTAGTGATTTTTATCCACAAAAGAACAAGTATAAAATTGGACAAAATTGTGAAAAGCGATCATTTCAAGTCATTGGAATTAAAAACAAAAAGTCTGATCTGGTGCCGGCCCAGTAGCACAGCAGTTGAGTTCACACGCTCTGCTTCAGCAGCCCGGGGTTCATGGGTTCAGATCCCAGGTGCAGACCTACACACCGCTCATCAATCCAAGCTGTGGCAGCATCCCACATAAAAAATAGAGGAAGACTGGCAAAGACGTTTACTCAGGGACAATCTTCCTCAAGCAAAAAGAGGAAGAGTGGCATAGATGTTAGCTCAGGGACAATCTTCCTCAAAAAAAAAAAAACCCAACCCAGATCTAATTAAAGGGAAAGATAGATAAACCATGTTCATGAATGGAAGATTCAATATTGTTAAGATGGTAATTCTCAAACTGTCCAATAAATTCTCAAACTGACAATTAAAAATCCCAGCAGAACGTTTTGAAGATACCAACAAGTTCATTCCACAATTTATATGGAAATGGAAAAAACAATAGAATAGCCCAAACAATTTTCAATAAAAACAAACTGGAGGATTTATATTACCTGATTTCAAAAGTTACTACAAATGTACAGAAACAGAGTCAATGTGTATAGAACGTACATAAGATAAATGGAACAGAACAGAGTTTAGAAAGAAATCAACACACTGTTTTGGTCAATTGGTTTATAACAAAGGTGCCAATATAATTCAATGGGGAAAGGATACCTTTTCCAACAAATGGTACAAAAACAGCTGGACACTTACCTCACACCATATGCAAAAACTAACTCCAAATAGATTAAAGACCTAAATACAAAGAGCTAAAATTAAAAAAAACTTGGGGAAGAAGAGGAGAAAACTCTCTGTGACCTTGGAGGATTAGACACAGATTTCTTAGGCATGTCACCAAAAGCACAATCCACAAAAGACAAGACTGATAAATTGGACAGCATCAAAATTTAAAATGTTTGCTTTTCAAAGATACCATTAAGAAAATGAAAAGAGAAGCCAAAGACTGGGAGAAAATATTTGCAAATCATAAATCTGATAAAGACCTGTATGCAGAAGAGATTAAAATCTTTTTTTTTTTTTTTTTTTGAGGAAGATTAGCCCTAAGCTAACTACTGCCAGTCCTCCTCTTTTTTGCTGAGGAAGCCTGGCCCTGAGCTAACATCGTGCCCATCTTCCTCTACTTTATACGTGGGACGCCTACCACAGCATGGTGTGCCAAGCGGTGCCACGTCCGCACCCAGGATGCGAACCAGAGAACCCCAGGCCGCCCAGAAGCGGAACGTGCGAATTTAACCACTGCGCCACCGGGCCGGTCCCTAAAATCTCTTATAACACAACTATAATTACATTCTACGTTAGGTCAGTTTTAACGAGAGAAACAAGTTCATTTATCATGTTAAAAACAATATTTATACGAATTTAAATATTGGTACATATTTGTAGCAAATATTTGGTACAAAACTTAACTACTGGTAATATAGTGATTGTTCAAAACTGTGTTTAGGTATTTAACATGGGGAAATAGCTATTTCACTCTAACTTTTTGTTTAGTTTTGCTTATACTTGTAATGAACAATGTGTACAGTTTTTGTTTCCCTACCGTTTGTTCTGATTATATTTATTAAAATGTTATTGTTTGTTGAATCTAATGATAAAAAATTGAGACATAAAAAGGCAATCTCTTACAACACAATTACAAAATAAACAATTTTAAAATGGGCAAAGATTTCAAAAGATATTTTCACCAAAGGAAATATACAAACGGGCGATATGCACATGAAAAGAAGCTCATCGTCATCAATCGTTAGGGAAATGCAAATTAAAACCAGCACAAGATACCACTGCACAACCACTAAAATGGCAAAAATCAAAAAGACTTACAATACCAGGTATTTGAGAAGATGTGGACAAACGGAAAGCCTCTTTCATTCTTGGAGGAAATGTAAAATGGTACAGCTACTTTGGAAAATAGTTTGATGGTTTCCTTTTCTTTTTTTTAATAACAACTTAATTGAGATATAAATTCATGCTTTTCATGTGTAGAACCCAGTGGTTTTTGGTATATTCAGAAAGTTATACAACTATCACCACTGCCTAACTTGAGAACATTTTCATTACTCTAAAAAAAAAAAATCCTATACCCATTTTCCTTTCGCTCTTTCTCCTAGCCTCTAGCAATCACTAATCTATTTTCTGTTTCTATAGATTTGCCTATTCTAGATATTTCATATAATCATAATCATACAATATACAGCCTTTTGTGAATGGCTTCTTTCATTTAGCACAACGTTTCCAAGGTTTATCCATGTTGTAGCATGTATTAGAACTTCATTCCCTTTTTATAGCCAAATAATATTCTGCTATATGGATATACCACACTTTGTTTACCCATTCATCTGTTGACATTTGGTTGTTTCTATTTTTGGTTATTGTAAACAATGCTGCTATGAACATTCAAGAATATTTCAAGAACATTTCAAAGTGGCTCCATCATTTTACAATCCCATCAGCAATGCATCAGGGCTTCAATTTCTCTACATCTTCACCAACACCTGCAATTATGCGTCTTTTTATTTTAGCCATTCTAGATGTGAGTATGAAGTGGTATCTCATTTTGGTTTTGATTTGCATTTCCCTAACTACTAATGATATTATGCATCTTTTCATGTGCTAATTGGTCATTTGTATGTTTTATTTTTTAAAGAAATGTCTATTCAAATCACCCATTTTTAAAATAAGCCTTTTATATTATTATTGAGATGTAAGATTCACTTTCTTGACGACATCCTTGGAACGTAAGTTTTTAATCTTCTTTTTTTTTGAGGAAGATTAGCCCTGAGCTAACATCTGCCAATCCTCCTCGTTTTTGCTGAGGAAGACTGGCCTTGAGCTAACATCATGCCCATCTTCCTCTATTTTATATGAGGGACACCTGCCACAGCATGGCTTCATAAGCAGTACATAGGTCCACACCTGGGATCCAAACTGGCGAACCCCAGGCCACCAAAGCAGAACCACTGTGCTACTGGGCTCACCCCCAAGTTTTTAATTTTGATTAAGTTCAATTTATCTACTTTTCTTTTGTCACATACTTTTGGTATCAAATCTAAGAAACCACTGACTAATTCAAGGTTATAAAGATTTATGCCTACGTTTTCTTCTAGAGTTTTATAGTTTTACCCCTTACATTTAGGTCTAGATCCATTTTGAGTTAATTTTTTATACAGTGTTAGGGAAGGATCCCAACTTCATTCTTTTGCATACAGATATCCAGTTTTCCTAGCACCATTTACTGAAAAGAGTATTCTTCCGTCAGTGATTTATCTTGACACCTCTGTTGAAAAATGTAAGAGTTTATTTCTAGACATTGACAGTTTCTTAAAATGTTAAAACACAGACTTTCTACACGGCCCAACAGTTTTATTCCTAGGTATCTACCCAAGAGAAATGAAAGTATCTGTCTATACAAAGACTAATATATGAATGTTTACAGCCACATTACTCAAATAGCTAAAAATTGGAAACACCCAATACTCAACAACTGGTGAACAGATAAACAAAATATGGTACATACATATAGAAATACTACTCAGCTGTAAATGGAAATGAACTGCTGATAAACACTTCAACATGGATGAACCTAAAAAGCATTATGTTAAATGAGAAAAGCAAGACACAAAAGACCATATATTGTATGATTCCATTTAGATGAACTTTCTAGAAAAGACACAACTAAAAAAGACAGGCGGTAGATCAGTGGTTGCCTAGACTGTACGCAGGAATGGGGATTGAGTGTAAATGGGCTCAGGAGAACTTTTAGGGTGGTAAAAACATTTGAAAAATAAATTATGGTGATAACTGCACAACTCTATAAATTTACTAAAAGTCATTGACTTGAACACTTTAATGGGTGAATTTTATGGTATGTAAATTATACCTCAATAAAGCTGTTTAAAAAAAAGGCTAGCACTTCCAAGTCGCCTTTAGTACATACCTCCTTGTTAGGGGCGAAGAACTTTTGTTCAGAAGTGTGTGGGAGTGAGGAAAGGAGTTTTGAAAGGCTGAATAGCTACAGTAACGTTTGAAGTTTCCCTACTGCCTTGCTTCTGGAAAACAGACTAAGACTCAAAGAAGATGTACCTGGGAGAAGGAGAAGGCCCAGCCACCGGGTACTTATAAAAAGATCCACGGTTAATACATCTATCGCTAATCTTAAGGCAAACTGTGAGGGTAAGTGGCAGGACTGTCCCTCTTTTATTACTAACCAACTCATCAGGCTGCCTGTAGGTGTAAATTTTCCCTTTCAGGGTTGCCCTGTTTCACAGAATCATTCAAATCTGATTTCATCTACATGAACTGGTTTGGGGAAAGAGGAGGGAAGAGGAACGAAACACAATTATTTATCCTAGATTTGCATTTCCTGCAATGTACCTTCAGGAATATCTCCTGAGAGGAGGTTAGATATCTGAGGATTTTCTTTTTCTATAAACTTTTTTATTTAAGCATAATAAACATGTGGATTTTAAGTTATTTTTCATGCCTGCAAGAATGGAAAGGGGATAATATATTTTTAATTATTTGAATTATCGTTTTATAACTAACACTCTTCTTACATAAACAAAACACCTAATCCCTAAGAAATTCATCTGTTGAAGGGAGAGTTAACTTTGTAAATGACACAGGCCTCCCGTGTCGTCTGTCAACCAGAGCCACTAGCAGGAATTGTTTCTCCC